GGTATGCACCTTGGGAAACTATAACTCCCAGGAGGACTCCATCGCATGGAGCCATGGCATTTAAAGCAGGTGCAAGGGCATTCATTCCATGCTGCAAATGCACCAAGAGAAGGGTGTGGACCTTGGGAAACTATAACTCCCAGGAGGACTCCATCGCATGGAGCCTTGGCATTTAAAGCGGGGTGCAAGGACATTCATTCCATAAATGCACCAAGAGAAGGGTGTGGACCTTGGGAAATTATAACTCCCAGGAGGACTCCATCACATGTAGCCATGGCATTTAAAGTAGGGGTGCAAGGACATTCATTCCATGCTGCAAATGCACCAAGAGAAGGGTGTGGACCTTGGGAAACTACAACTCCCGGGAGGACTCCATCACATGTAGCCATGGCATTTAAAGTGGGGTGCAAGGACATTCATTCCATGCTGCAAATGCACCAAGAGAAGGGTGTGGATATTGGGAAACTATAACTCCCGGGAGGACTCCATCACATGTAGCCATGGCATTTAAAGTGGGGTGCAAGGACATTCATTCCATGCTGCAAATGCACCAAGAGAAGGGTGTGGACCTTGGGAAACTACAACTCCCGGGAGGACTCCATCACATGTAGCCATGGCATTTAAAGTGGGGTGCAAGGACATTCATTCCATGCTGCAAATGCACCAAGAGAAGGGTGTGGACCTTGGGAAACTATAACTCCCGGGAGGACTCCATCACATGTAGCCATGGCATTTAAAGTGGGGTGCAAGGACATTCATTCCATGCTGCAAATGCACCAAGAGAAGGGTGTGGACCTTGGGAAACTATAACTCCCGGGAGGACTCCATCACATGTAGCCATGGCATTTAAAGTGGGGTGCAAGGACATTCATTCCATGCTGCAAATGCACCAAGAGAAGGGTGTGGATATTGGGAAACTATAACTCCCGGGAGGACTCCATCACATGTAGCCATGGCATTTAAAGTGGCGTGCAAGGGCATTCATTCCATGCTGCAAGTACACCAAGAGAAGGGTGTGGACCTTGGGAAACTATAACTCCCAGGAGGACTCCATCGCATGGAGCCATGGCATTTAAAGCAGGTGCAAGGGCATTCATTCCATGCTGCAAATGCACCAAGAGAAGGGTGTGGACCTTGGGAAACTATAACTCCCAGGAGGACTCCATCGCATGGAGCCATGGCATTTAAAGTGGGGTGCAAGAGCATTCATTCTATACTGCAAATGCACCAAGAGAAGGGTGTGGACCTTGGAAAACTATAACTTCCAGGAGGATTCAATTGCATGGAGCCATGGTATTTAAAGCGGGGTGCAAGGGCATTCATTCCATGCTGCAAATGCACCAAGAGAAGGGTATGCACCTTGGGAAACTATAACTCCCAGGAGGACTCCATCGCATGGAGCCTTGGCATTTAAAGCGGGGTGCAAGGACATTCATTCCATAAATGCACCAAGAGAAGGGTGTGGACCTTGGGAAATTATAACTCCCAGGAGGACTCCATCACATGTAGCCATGGCATTTAAAGTAGGGTGCAAGGACATTCATTCCATGCTGCAAGTACACCAAGAGAAGGGTGTGGACCTTGGGAAACTATAACTCCCAGGAGGACTCCATTGCATGGAGTCATGGCGTTTGAAGCAGGGTGCAAGGGCATTCATTCCATACTGCAAATGCACCAAGAGAAGGGTGTGGACCTTGGGAAATTATAATTCCCAGGAGGACTCCATTGTATGGAGCCATGGCACGTCAAGTGCAGTTCAAGGGCATTCATTCCATGCTGCAAATGCACCAAGAGAAGGGTGTGGATCTTGGGAAACTATAACTCCCAGGAGGACTCCATTGCATGGAGCCATGGCATTCAAAGCGGGGTGCAAGGGCATTCATTCCATACTGCAAATGCACTAAGAGAAAGGTATGCACCTTGGGAAACTATAATTTCCAGGAGGACTCAATTGCATGGAGCCATGGCATTCAAAGCGGGGTGCAAGGGCATTCATTCCATACTGCAAATAAACCAAGAGAAGGGTGTGGACCTTGGGGAAACTATAACTCCCAGGCGAACTCCATTGCATGGAGCCATGGCATTTAAAGCGGTGTGCAAGGGCATTCATTCCATGTTGCAAATACACCAAGAGAAGGGTGTGGACCTTGGGAAACTACAACTCCTGGGAGGACTCCATCACATGTAGCCATGGCATTTAAAGTGGGGTGCAAGGACATTCATTCCATGCTGCAAATGCACCAAGAGAAGGGTGTGGACCTTGGGAAACTACAACTCCCGGGAGGACTCCATCACATGTAGCCATGGCATTTAAAGTGGGGTGCAAGGACATTCATTCCATGCTGCAAATGCACCAAGAGAAGGGTGTGGACCTTGGGAAACTATAACTCCCGGGAGGACTCCATCACATGTAGCCATGGCATTTAAAGTGGGGTGCAAGGACATTCATTCCATGCTGCAAATGCACCAAGAGAAGGGTGTGGATATTGGGAAACTATAACTCCCGGGAGGACTCCATCACATGTAGCCATGGCATTTAAAGTGGGGTGCAAGGACATTCATTCCATGCTGCAAATGCACCAAGAGAAGGGTGTGGACCTTGGGAAACTATAACTCCCGGGAGGACTCCATCACATGTAGCCATGGCATTTAAAGTGGGGTGCAAGGACATTCATTCCATACTGCAAATGCACCAAGAGAAGGGTATGCACCTTGGGAAACTATAACTCCCAGGAGGACTCCATCGCATGGAGCCATGGCATTTAAAGTGGGGTGCAAGGGCATTCATTCCATACTCTAAATGCATCCAGAGAAGGGGGTGGACCTTGGGAAACTATAACTCCCAGGAGGACTCCATTGCATGGAGTCATGGCATTTAGAAGCGGGGTGCAAGGGCATTCATTCCATGCTGCAAATGCACCAAGAGAAGGGTGTGGACCTTGGGAAACTATAACTCCCAGGAGGACTCTATTGCATGGAGTCATGGCGTTTGAAGCGGGGTGCAAGGGCATTCATTCCATGCTGCAAATGCACCAAGAGAAGGGTGTGGACCTTGGGAAACTATAACTCCCAGGAAGACTCCATCGCATGGAGCCATGGCATTTAAAGCAGGGTGCAAGGACATTCATTCCATACTGCAAATGCACCAAGAGAAGGGTGTGGACCTTGGGAAACTATAACTCCCAGGAGGACTCCATCGCATGGAGCCATGGCATTTAAAGTGGGGTGCAAGGACATTCATTCCATGCTGCAAATGCACCAAGAGAAGCGTGTGGACCTTGGGAAACTATAACTCCCAGGCGAACTCCATTGCATGGAGCCTTACTTAGGGTCAACCTAAGTCTGAAACTATTTGAAAGCACACAACAACAACAATCCTATCTCATCAGCCAGTTCTCAACAAAGCCTGAAGGAGATGGCTGGCCATAGTTTGTGCCAGCCATCTCCTTCAGGCTGTGTTCAGAATGAGCAAATGAGATAGGATTGTTGTTGTTGTGTCATTTCAAGTCATTTCAGACTTCAGTTGACCCTAAGTGAGGGACGGATAAATGACCTTGGAGGGCCGTATCCGCCCCCTGGGCCTTATCTGGTTGTAAGGGCAAGAGAAATGCTTTCCTTTCGATTCTGGGATCAGGAAAAGCTTTATATTGATACACAGGATAGACTTGCCTCAGTCTTGTCAATGTTGGAATTTCATGACGGTCTTGCTTCCAAGTGTTCCTAGTTTCATGTGCCAAGTTTTCCCAGGCTCCTGATCTATGTATTAGATTTTAATGTTGCCTTGTTTTATGGATTTTGCACCTTTGATTCTCTTGTGTTCCGGGTGTTTGGGACTCTCAGAAGCCCTTACCCCCAGCTTGTCCACTGGTCAGGAATTCTGGGAGCTGAAGTCCGAAACTTCTGGAGGGCCATAGTTTGTGCCAGCCATCTCCTTCAGGCTGTGTTCAGAACGGGTGGATGAGATAGGATTGTTGTTGTTGTTGTGTGCTTTCAAATCATTTCAGACTTCGGTTGACCCCTAAGTGAGGGACGGATAAATGACCTTGGAGGGCCGTATCCGCCCCCTGGGCCTTATCTGGTTGTAAGGGCAAGAGAAATGCTTTCCTTTCGATTCTGGGATCAGGAAAAGCTTTATATTGATACACAGGATAGACTTGCCTCAGTCTTGTCAATGTTGGAATTTCATGACGGTCTTGCTTCCAAGTGTTCCTAGTTTCATGTGCCAAGTTTTCCCAGGCTCCTGATCTATGTATTAGATTTTAATGTTGCCTTGTTTTATGGATTTTGCACCTTTGATTCTCTTGTGTTCCGGGTGTTTGGGACTCTCAGAAGCCCTTACCCCCAGCTTGTCCACTGGTCAGGAATTCTGGGAGCTGAAGTCCGAAACTTCTGGAGGGCCATAGTTTGTGCTAGCCATCTCCTTCAGGCTGTGTTCCGAACGGGCGGGTTTGCCCGTGCTCCTTTGGCCCTCTCCCGTGATGTGCTGACCTCCCGGCCTTCTGTGTTTGTGCAAGCAAGGGTATTCTCTTTGCATGAGGCTGCATCTTTATTCACGGCTTTTGTGCGGCCAAATACGGTGCGCTTTCATTCGGCGGGCATTGTTCCCTGCGGTTGGCCATGCCCATGCGATTGTGCTGAGCTTGGAAGGGAGCCAGCCCCGGCCGCTGCTGATGTGACCCCCGTGGGCGGGTGTTTTCTCAGCCCAAATGGCTCTTGCTCCCTCTGACATATGCAGAAAGAGAGAGGGAAGGAGAGAAAGTTGCCTGGGCACAGAGATGGCACTGGTGTAGTCCGAAGATCCCATCGCGATGCAGGATTCACCCCCTTCGCTAGCCATGGATGGCTATGCCAGTAACGTCCCCGCTTTCCTCACCAAACTGTGGACGCTGGTGGAAGACCCCGACACCAACCATCTCATATGCTGGAGTATTGTGAGTACAGCCGAACTGGTGCAGAAAAGTTATAGAAAGTAACTCTGGACCGTTCTAAGTGTAGTATATATTGATATATCTACTATCAGTGCTGGCTGTAAGGTCTTGAAACCACAGTTCCATATCCTTGTGAGCAAAGGGATCTGTAGCACTGTACAGAGAGAAAGAAGTTGGCAGCATAAGATTTCATAGACTTAAGTCTATGAGAGATATTGACAAGCTGGAATGTGTCCAGAGGAGGGCGACTAAAATGATAAAAGATCTGGAGAACAAGCCCTATGAGGAGTGGCTTAAGGAGCTGGGCATGTTTAGCCTGAAGAAGAGAAGGCTGAGAGGAGATATGATAGCCATGTATAAATATGTGAGAGGAAGCCACAGGGAGGAGGGAGCAAGCTTGTTTTTCTGCTTCCTTGGTTCCTATGTTCTGTGTATATTGTTTTATATGCTTTGATGTTTTATATCTTAATGTTATGTTGTTTATTTTATTGCAATTTGTATTGTTATATTGTAATTCTTGTTCAGGCTTGGCCCCATGTAAGCCGCTCCAAGTCCCTTTTGGGGAGATGGTGGCAGGGTATAAATAAAGATTATTGTTATTATTATTATTATTATTATTATTATTATTATTATTATTATTATTATCGTTATTATTATCTATATAAATAATGAAGGAAGTTAGATTGGATGGCCTTAAGTATTTTCCGTTGGTCATGGGTGTTCTGTGGGAAGTTTGCCCCGATTCTGTTGTTCATGGGGTTCAGAATGCTCTTTGATTGTAGGTGAACTATAAATCCCTGCAAACTACAACTCCCAAAATGTCAAGGTTTATTTTCCCCCAAACTCCACCAGTGTTCATATTTGCATATTGAGTATTTGTGCCAAGTTTGGTCCAGATCCATCATGTTGAGTCCACAGTGCTCTCTGGATGTAGGTGACTACAACTCCAAAACTCAAGGTCAGTGCCCACCAAACCTTCAGTATTTTCTGTTGGTCTGTGTGCCAAGTTTGGTTCAATTCCATCATTGGTAAGAGTTCAGAATGCTCTTTGATTGTAGGTGAACTACAAATCCCAGCAACCACAACTCCCAAATGACAAAATCAAGCCACCCCAACCCACTAGTATTCAAATTTGGGCATATCGGGTATTTGTGCCAAATTTGGTCCAGTGAATGAAAATACATCCTGCATATCAGATATTTACATTACGATTGATAACAGTAGCAAAATGACAGTTATGAAGTAGGAAGGAAAATAGTTTTATGGTTGGGGGTCACCACAACATGCAGAATTGTATTAAGGGATCGCAGCATGAGGAAGGTTGAAAACCCCTGATCTAGACCAAACTTGGCACGAATATTCAACATGCCCAAACAGAATTTTAGGGGAGATAGACCTTGACATTTGGGAGTTGTGGTTGCTGGGATTTATAGTTCACCTACAATCAAAGAGTACTCTGAACCCAACCCACAATGGATCTGCACTAAACTTGGCCCACTATCTACATGGCCAACATTGAATACTGGTGTTGGGGAGGGGGCTGCTTTTGAATTCTGGGAGTTGTAGTTCACCAACTCCAAAAAGGAAGAGAAGGACAGTGGGAGAGATCTTCAGCCTTCTCTACCAAAAGGGTTCCTAAGACCATCAGAAATATGTGTTTTCTTGGTGGTCTTTGGCGACCCCTCTGAAACCCTCTCGATGACCCCCCCCCCAGGGGTCCCAACCAACAGGTTGAGAAACACTGTTGTAGAGTTTATCAACCAGTGTAGGTTTAAGACAGTGGTTCTCAACCTTCCTGATGCTGCGACCCCTTAATACAGTTCCTCATGTTGTGGTGACCCCCAACCATAACATTATTTTCATTGCTACTTCATAACTGTAATTTTGCAGTTATGTATCGTCATATGAATATCTGATATGCAGGATGTAGTTTCATCCACTGGACCAAATTTGGCACACATACCTGATATGCCCAAATTTGCATACTGGGGGGGGGGGTTGATTTTGTCATTTGGGAGTTGTAGTTGCTGGGATTTATAGTTCACCCACAATCAAAGAGAATTCTGAACTCCACCAAGAATAGAACTGAACCAAACTTGGTACAGAGAACTCCCGTGACCAACAGAAAGTACTGAAAGGGTTTGGTGGACATAGACCTTGAGTTTTGGAGTTGTAGTTCACCTACATCCAGAGAGCAGTGTGAACGCAAACAATGATGGATCTGGACCAAACTTGGCACGAATACTCAATATGCCCAAATGTGAACACTGGTGGAGTTTGGGGAAAATACACCTTGACATTTGGGAGTTGTAGTTGCTGGGATTTATAGTTCACCTACAATCAAGAGCATTCTGAACCCCAACGATAGAATTGGGCCAAACCTCCCACACAGAACCCCCATGACCAACAAAAAATACTGTGTTTTCTGGTGGTCTTTGGCGACCCCTCTGACACCCCCTCACGACCCCCACAGGGGTCCCGACCCCCCAGGTTGAGAAACACTGGTTTAAGACATCCTGTGATTATTCTGCATGTTTTGTTCAATGTTGTATTCACCTGCTTTGCGTGAGCAGAGTTGTGCCAAACAGGGCAGGCATACTCGGCAGTTGAGTAAGACAAGGCCAGGGCTGGTGTTCTTATTAATTTGGGGTCTGCACCCCATGTGATGCCAGTAAGTTTCTGCAGGATGTTATTCTGTGCAGCTACTTTGTACTTGGTGTTCATGCTGTATTTCCTAAATGTTCGTGTTCAATATAAGGTGACACCGAGATATTTAGGGTGGGAACAGTGTTCAAGCTGGGTTGTTGTAGGTTTTTTCGGGCTATATGGCCATGTTCTAGAGGTATTTTCTCCTGACGTTTCACTTGCATCTATGGCAAGCGTCCTCAGAGGTTGTGAGGTCTGTTGGAACTAAGAAAAAAGGAGAATTCAACAGGTTCCTGGACCATCTTAACAGCATCCACCCAAACATCCAATTCACAATGGAAAAAGAAAATGAAGGAAGACTGCCTTTTCTAGATGTCCTAGTTATCCGCAAACCAGATCAACAATTGGGTCACACCGTCTACAGAAAACCCACACACACAGATAGATATCTACTAGGCCTGGTTGATCAAGAAAAAATTTGATTCTAAAATCGATTTGTAATTGGGGTGTTTTTTTGTTTCGATATTTAAAATAATTACAAAATTTCCCCCCTACAATCCGTTAATATTTACGAAAATTTCGTAAATATTAACGAATTGATTCGTTAAGATGGCGGACCCCCGCGCATGCGCAAAATCACTTCCGAAGCTTCGTTATTGGCGCGGGGCCGATTCGTTAAGGATATAACGAATCGATTCGTTAAAACGGCGGACGCGATTTGCGCATGCGCAAAAGCGACTTCCGAAACTTCGTTATTAAATACGAATCGATTCGCTATTAAAATAATAACGAATCGATTCGTTAAAACGGCGGACGCGATTGCGCAATGCTAAATGCTCTATAAACAAAATCATTTCATAAAATAAATCAAATAAAATAATCAAATAGAACAAGATATTAAGATATTAAATAAAAAAGTAATAAGATAAAGTATCCAAAACTGAGTCAATTTAATAATATAATGAAATAAACAATAATATAATAATAAAATTTAAATAAATAAAATATAAATAATAATAATATAATAATAATAACAATAAATAATATAAAATTATATAATATATACAATATAAAATAAAATAATATAATATAATAATATATTATTATATATATTATATAAATGAAATAAATAATAATATAAATATTTAAATAAAATATAATTAAATTTATAAAATATTTATAAAATATAATTATAAATAATAATAAAAATAATATATAAAATTAAATTATAAATTATTAATATATAAAAATAATGTTATTATAAAAACTTAGAAAGTAAATATAAGAAATAAATAAAGAAAAAGTAACAAAAAGTAACAGAAATTGCACTTTGAAAAAACTCTGAAAATTATCTGGGAAGTATTGCATACATACTAATTTCTGTAGCAGTATTGCAAGTTAAGTAAAGCGAGCAAGCACTGTATTATAGCACTTTGTGTTGGCAAAAGGAGCACACTGGTTGGAACTACACAAATGAGCGAGCAAGCACTGTATTATAGCACTTTGTGTTGGCAAAAGGAGCGCACTGGTTGGAACTACACAAATGAGCGAGCAAGCACTGTATTATAGCACTTTGTGTTGGCAAAAGGAGCGCACTGGTTGGAACTACACAAATGAGCGAGCAAGCACTGTATTATAGCACTTTGTGTTGGCAAAAGGAGCGCACTGGTTGGAACTACACAAATGACAAACGCACACACAGCCACCGAAGACTCTTTTTTTTTTTAGAATATTTTTTGTATTTTTTAAGAATAAAAGGCAGGTATTTTTAGAAAATATTCAGAAATGGAAAATTAACCCAAAACTGGCCCTGATGTGGACCAAACACAGCCACGAGACAGGACAAACGAGAGCACACACCAACAGAAGAGTCTTTTCTTTTTTAGAATATTTTTTGTATTTTTTTAAGAATAAAAGACAGGTATTTTTAGAAAATATTCAAAAATGGAAACTTAACCCAAAACTGGCCCTGATGTGGACCAAACACAGCCACGAGACAGGGCAAATGAGAGCACACACCAACAAAAGAGTCTTTTCTTTTTTAGAATATTTTTTGTATTTTTTTAAGAATAAAAGACAGGTATTTTTAGAAAATATTCAGAAATGGAAAATTAACTAAACTGGCCCTGATGTAGAGCTAACACAGGCAGGACACAGGGCAAATGAGAGCACACACCAACAAACGAGTCTTTTCTTTTTTTGGAATATTTTTTGTATTTTTTTTAAGAATAAAAGGCAGGTATTTTTAGAAAATATTCAGAAATGGAAAATTAATCTAAAGCTAACACAGCCAAAAGACAGCCAAAAGCACACACCAACAGAAGAGTCTCAAGCCAACCCAATGCAAGTCTTTTTGCTACCGCAACCAAGCCAACCCAAAGCAAGCAGCCCTCCCAGACCTCTCTCCTCCCTCGCCTCCGCGCAACAAATGAGCTCTGCGGCCACGCGGAGCCGCTTTTAAAGGCCTTGCCGGCCAATCAGACACAGCCACGGTGCACTGCTTGGGTGCTTGGGAGCGCCGGATTGGCTCCCAGGCACCAGCATCCTCCATCCCATTTCCGAAACGGGCGGAAGCTCGTTAAAAGGATGGGGGATGCCGCTTCGATATTTTTAAACCCTTCCGGGTTTGAAAATGTGTTTTGTTATCGTTTCGTAAATGCTAAAAATAACGAATAATTAACGAATTAACGAATTAACGAACGAAACCGCCCAGGCCTAATATCTACATCAAAACTCCAACCATCACCCAAGTCAAAAAAGATGGAATGATAAGATGGGCTAGGGATATCGGGATATCGATATCTTTAACAGAATGGGAGAACATATGGACTAGAAAACGGAAAGAAAACTGGCTGAAAATGCTCTATAGATGTTCTTGGTCTTGCAGCTCTTCTGATGTCTGAGGTGGAGTATCACCGTCTACAGAAAACCCACACACACAGATAGATATCTACATAAAAACTCCAACCATCACCCAAGTCAAAAAAGAAGCACCATTAAAGCCTTGGCAGACCGTGCAAAAAGAATCTGCGAACCACACCTCCTCCAAGAGGAACTGAACCACCTCAACTGGGCTCTCCAGGCCAATGGAGACTCCACCTCAGACATCAGAAGAGCTGCAAGACAACCGAGAAGAAGCCACGAGAGTCAAGACGAAGATCCACCCAGAGGAAAAGTGTTCTTGCCATACATCAAGGGAACCACTGACCGCATAGGGAAGCTGATGAGGAAACACAACATACAAACAATCTACAAACCCACCAAGAAAATCCAACAAATGCTACGTTCAGCAAAGGACAAGAGGGATCCTCTCACTTCTGCAGGAGTCTACCGTGTACCATGCAGCTGTGGACAAGTCTACATAGGGACCACCAAACGCAGCGTTGCCCAAACACGAATCAAGGAACATGAAAGGCACTGCAGACTACTTCAACCAGAGAAGTCAGCCATAGCAGAGCACCTGATGAACCAACCTGGACACAGCATTTTATTTGAGAACACAGAAATGCTGGACCACACCAACAACCACCATGTCAGACTATACAGAGAAGCCATTGAAATCCACAAGCATGTGGACAATTTCAACAGAAAGGAGGAAACCATGAAAATGAACAAAATCTGCTACCAGTATTAAAAAACTCTAAAATTAAAACAGCAAAACAACAGAGAGGAAACAAACAGGACATCTAATCACCTCTCAACAAAAGATTGCTCCAGGCACTGCCAGGCAATCAAATGCTAATCAAGGTGGTCAGTTGAAACATTCACACCTAGCTCCAACAGACAATAGTCCTTTGTTCCACCCTTGTCATTCCACAGATATATAACCCCTTTTTCCTAGTTCCAACAGACCTCACAACCTCTGAGGATGCTTGCCATAGATGCAGGCGAAACGTCAGGAGAGAATGCCTCTAGACCAGGGATCCTCAGACTTTTTAAACAGAGGGCCAGGTCACAGTCTCTCAAACTATTGGAGGGCCGGATTATAATTTGAAAAAAAATGAATGAATTCCTATGAATACTGCACATATTTTATTTGTAGTGCAAAAAACACTTAAAACAATACAATAATTAAAATGAAGAACAATTTTAAGAAATATAAACTTGTTAGTATTTCAATGGGAAGTGTGGGCCTACTTTTTGCTGATTGTTGTTGTGTGCTTTCAAGTAGTTTCAGACTTAGGTTGACCCTGAGTGAGGGCCAGGTAAATGACCTTGGAGGGCTGTATCTGGCCCTCGGGCCTTAGTTTGAGGACCCCTGCTCTAGACCATGGCCATATAGCCCGAAAAAACCTACAACAACCCAGTGATTCCGGCCATTAAAGCCTTCGACAATACAGTGTTCAAGCTCTTGGCCTTCCCAAATGGTGAAAAGTTGGCAAACTATGAATCCTGCCAAGGGATCGAAGAATATTTAGCTTGCAGAAGAGAAGGTAACATTATAGATTTTGTGTGTGTGTGTGTGTGTGTCAGGAGCAACTTGAGAAATTGCAAGTTGCTTCTGGTGTGAGAGAATTGGCTGTCTGCAAGGATGCCCAGGGGATGCCTGAATGGATGCTTGCAGAGTTTATCAACAAGTGTAGGTTTAAGACATCCTGTGATTATTCAGCACGTTTCGTTCAATGTTGTATTCGCCTGCTTTGCGTGAGCAGACTTGTGCCAAACGAGGGGGTTGGACTGGATGGCCCATGAGGTCTCTTCCAACTCTATGATTCTATGAATGTTTTAGTATCCTGTGGGAGGCTTCTCTCATGTTGCCACATAAGAAGCTGGAGCTGACAGATGGGAGCTCACCCCACTCCCTGGATTTGAACTGCCGACCTTTCGGTCAGCAGTCCTGCTGGCACAAAGGGGCACAATGTGATAGATGTCATATTGGAAACGGAGCAGGCTTGTTTCCTGCTGCTTCAGAAAGCAATGGATTAAAACGACAGGAAAATATATTCCGTGGGAACAGTAGGAAAGCTTTCCTAAAAATAAGAGTGGTTAAATTGTGGAATAGTTGCCTTGGAGTGTGTTGGAGTCTTCTTCTCTGAAGCATTTTCCATTTGTGCATCTTCAAATTCTGCAGCACTGCTGGTCACAGCTGACCTCCAGCTGGAGCACTCACAGGCCAGGGCTTCCCAGTTCTCAGTGTCTATGGCAGAGTTTTTAAGGTTGGCTTTGAGCCCATCTTTAAATCTCTTTTCCTGTCCTCCAACATTCTCGTTTTCCGTTCTTGAGTTTGGAGTAGAGCAACTGCTTTGGGAGATGGTGGTCAGGCATCCGGATAACGTGGCTGGTCCAGCGGAGTTGATGGCAGAGGACCAACGCTTCAATGCTGGTGGTCTTTGCTTCTTCCAGCACGCTGACATTTGTCCACTTGTCTTCCCAAGAGATTTGCAGGATTTTTCAGAGGCAACGCTGATGGAATCGTTCAAGGAGTTGCGTATGATGTCTATAGACAGTCCACATCTCGCAGGTGTATAGCAGGGTTGGGAGGACAATAGCTTTATAAACAAGCACCTTGGTATCCCTACGGATGTCTTGGTCCTCCAGCACACTCTGCTTCATTCGGAAAAATGCTGCACCCACAGAGCTCAGGTGGTGTTGTATTTCAGTGTCAATGTGGAGAGGAAGCTACCAAGTAGCAGAAATGGTCAACATTTTCTAATGTTACACCATTAAGCTGTATTTCTGGCATTGGAGAGGGATTGGCTGGTGACTGCTGACTGCTGTCATGCAACCAACTAACCGTCCTGGGCCCGGTCCTGTGCAACATCTTTATTAATGACTTAGATGAAGGGTTAGAAGGCAGGATCATCAAGTTTGCAGACAACACCAAATTGGGAGGGAGAGCCAAGACTCCAGAGGACAGGAGCAGGATTCAAAACAATCTTGACAGATTAGAGAGATGATGGGCCAAAACTAACAAAATGAAGTTCAACAGGGACAAATGCAAGATACTCCACTTTGGCAGGAAAAACGAAATGCAAAGATACAGAATGGGGGACAATGCCTGGCTCGAGAGCAGTACGTTTGAAAAAGATCTTGGAGTCCTCGTGGACAACAAGTTAAACATGAGCCAACAATGTGATGTGGCGGCAAAAAAAGCCAATGGGATTTTGGCCTGCATCAATAGGAGCATAGTGTCTAGATCTAAGGGAAGTCATGCTCCCCATGCTCTATTCTGCTTTGGTTAGACCACACCTGGAATATTGTGTCCAATTCATGGGCACCACAATTCAAGAGAGATATTGACAAGCTGGAATGTGTCCAGAGGAGGGCGACTAAAATGATCAAGGGTCTGGAGAACAAGCCCTATGAGGAGCGGCTTAAGGAGCTGGGCATGTTTAGCCTGAAGAAGAGAAGGCTGAGAGAAGATATGATAGCCATGTATAAATATGTGAGAGGAAGCCACAGGGAGGAGGGAGCAAGCTTGTTTTCTGCTTCCTTGGAGACTAGGACGCAATGGAACAATGGCTTCAAACGACAAGAGAGGAGATTCCATCTGAACATGAGGAAGAACTTCCCGACTGTGAGAGCCGTTCAGCAGTGGAACTCTCTGCCCCGGAGTGTGGTGGAGGCTCCTTCTTTGGAAGCTTTTAAACAGAGGCTGGATGGCCATCTGTCAGGGGTGATTTGAATGCAACATTCCTGCTTCTTGGCAGAATGGGGTTGGACTGGATGGCCCATGAGGTCTCTTCCAACTCTTTGATTCTATGATTCTATGAAACTTTAGAAATGCAGGACGTAATGTAATTTTTCAGATAGACCTTGTATAGCTAAAAAGGACCTAATCCTGTTCAATCCTTTTCCTTCTAGAACGGCACCAGTTTCCATGTTTTTGATCAAGGTCGGTTTGCAAAGGAGGTCCTGCCCAAGTATTTCAAGCACAACAACATGGCCAGCTTTGTCCGCCAGCTGAATATGTGTAAGTGGCTCTTTGAGAGAGATATATATGTACAGATAAAGAACATGTATTCCCCCTGGATGTTATTGGACTATGGCTTCCATCATCCCTGAGGACTAGTCATCCTAGTTTGGGATAATGGAGTCATAACAATCCTTAATGTCGAAAGCAAAACCTCTGTACCAGTGGTTCTCAACCTTCCTAATGCCGCGACCCCTTAGTACAGGTCCTCATGTTGTGGTGACCCCAAACCATAATGTTATTTTTGTTGCTACTTCACAACTGTAATTTTGCTACTGTTATGATTCGTAATCTAAATATCTGATATGCAGGATGTATTTTCAGTCACTGGAACAAATTTGGCACAAATACCCAATATGCCCAAATTTGAATATTGGTGAGTTTGGGGGTGATTGATTTTGTCATTTGGTAATGCTGGAGTTGCTGGGATTTATAGTTCACCTAAAATCAAAGAGCCTTCTGAACTCCACCAATGATGGAATTGAATCAAACTTGGCACACAGAATTCCCATGACCAAGAGAAAATACTGGGAAGTTCTGGTGGACATTGACCTTGTTATTTTTGGAGTTGTAGTTCACATACTTCCAGAGAACACTGTGGACTCAAGCAATGATGGATCTGGATCAAACTTGGCACAAATACTCAATATGCCCAAATGTGGACACTGGTAGAGTTTGGAGAAAATAGACCTTGCCATTTGGGAGTTGTAATTGTTGGGATTTATAGTTCACCCACAATGAAATAGCATTCTGAACCCCACCGATAGAATTGGACCAAACTTTCCACACAGAACCCCCATGACCAACAGAAAATACTATGTTTTCTGATGGTCTTTGGTGACCCCTCTGACACCCCCTCGCGACCCCCACGGGGGTCCCGACCCCCAGGTTGAGAAACACTGCTCTGTACTGTCGTGGAGGGGAATGACACCACGTATAGTGTTCCCCCAGAATGTGCACACTATTTAACTCATAGTAACTATTACGGTTATTTGTCAGACCGCCAAATATCTTAATTTATAATTTCATGTAATGTGTTCAAATTATCCAAGCACAGAATTGCAAACTTCACTTGTAATTTTGTGGTAATTCTCAACTCTTAGAAGCTTTAACTCTGTTAAGTGTGTGTGTATCTTTAAAGGCTATTAATCCTATTAAGAGTATACATTTTTGGATACCCTTTATTTGCATACCATTTGCATACAGCCTGTTTTTACTCCCATGATGTTAACAGACAATGCTGTCTCAGTAAATTGCGCAATGTAAACACAGCAAGCATTTTGTGTGTATATCCCTTACAGCAGTGTTTCTCAACCTGGGGGGCGGGACCCCTGGGGGGGGTCACAAGGGGGTGTCAGAGGGGTCGCCAAAGACCATCAGAAAACATAGTATTTTCTGTTGGTCATGGAGGTTCTGTGTGGAAAGTTTGGTCCAATTCTATCGTTGGTGGAGTTCAGAATGCTCTTTGATTGTAGGTGAACTATAAATCCCAGCAACTACAAGTTTATTTTCCCAAAACTCCCCCAATGTTCATATTTGGGCATATTGAGTATTCATGCCAAGTTTGGTCCAGATCCATCATTGTTGGAGTCCACAGTGCTCTCTGGATGTAGGTGAACTAGAACTTCAAAACTCAAGGTCAAGGCCCACCGGACCCTTCCAGTATTTTCTGTTGGTCATGGAGGTTCTGTGTGGAAAGTTTGGTCCAATTCTATCGTTGGTCGTGTTCAGAATGTTCTTTGATTGTAGATGAACTATAAATCCCAGCAACTACAACTTCCAAATGTCGAGGTCTATTTTCCCAACTCCACCAGTGTTCACATTTGGGCATATTGAGTAGCCATGTCAAGTTTGGTCTAGATCCATCATTGTTGGAGTCCACAGTGCTCTCTGGATGTAGGTGAACTAGAACTTCAAAACTCAAGGTCAAGGCCCACTGGACCCTTCCAGTATTTTCTGTTGGACTTCTGTGGGATTTCTGTGTGCCAAGTTTGGTTCAGTTCCATTGTTGGTGGAATTCAGAATGCTCTTTGATTGTAGATTAACTATAAATCCCAGAAACTACAACTCTCAATTCCGGTTCCAATTCAAGGTGCAGGTTATCACCTACAAAGCCCTAAATATATTCTTAAAACTTAAATGATTATTCCCCAGGCATAGAAGCCCGAAATGCAAAAAGTGAGATAGCAGATAGTGTTAGAATTAAGCTAGGAAAAATATGCCACCAAAATGGAGGCAATCTGCCATCTCGCGGATACTGGGGCCCCAAAGGGGGTTTCAGTATCCGCGGTTTGGGGGAACACAGATTCAGCCTCCCCGGAACGCCAGGTAGGCATTCCGGACAGTCCTGCAGTCTCCCGCGGCCCAGAAAAGGTTAGTTTCATCCATTCAGGCAAGAAGAGACACGACGTATCAAGCTAGAGAGTTTAAAGTTGCAATTTCATTAATCTTTATTTGGGGATTGGTTACAAAGTTGGGGTTTGGTAGGGAAGTGAAAGGAGAGAGCCTATGGCGGTGCAGAGTCCCCAGTTGAGCTTGCTGTTGGGGCACATTTCATCCATTTTTTCCCAATCTTTGCATCCAGGAACTGCGGAACTCCCTGCTGCTGGTCAGACCAGCTTGAAGGCAGGGGCCTGGGATGCCTCAAAACAACTTTCAAATGACAAAATCACATACCCCCAACCTCACCAGTATTCAAACATCGGGTTTTTGTGCCAAATTTGGTCCAGTGAATGAAAATGCCTCCTGCGTATCAGATATTATGATTCATAACAGTAGCAAGTTTACAGTTATGGAGTAACAACAAAAATAATGTTATGGTTGGGGTTCACCACAACATGAAGAACTGTATTAAGGGGTCGCGGCATTAGGAAGGTTGAGAAACACTGCCTTACAGGTAAAGTGGGTCACATAACTATACACATCTTGATATGGATTGTAGGTTGTTTTTGGTGTGATTGGGATTTTGTGGTGACTGTGTAGCTTTTAATGCATCTTTTTGTTGCACTCCAGGACAGGGATAACTCTCTGACTTTTTAAAAAAAAATTTATTAAGCATTTTACACAACAACACAAGGAAAGAGGGAGAACAATAATAGAGAAGATAGGAAAGTAGGAAACCCAGTTGCCCCCCTCCCCCAAAGAAGGCCAAAAAAGAAAAAAGACCAAAAAAGAGGAAAAAAGAGAGAGAGAGAGAGAGAAAAAAGGTCCAAAAAAGCAAAAACACACACCATTCTAAAATGACTTCCACTCCAACCTCAGGATCTTCTCTCGATACTTCTTAAATTATTTATTTATTTATTTATTTACTTTGCTTATATACCGCTGTATCTCAAGCCCGAAGAGCGACTCACAGCGGTTCACAAACAGTAAAAACAGTAGAAACAGCAGTGGTTCCATACAACATATAACAATTGACTTAACACATTATCCATAAATTACCAATAAGCAATTACAATGCACAATTATTACAAAAAACAACCGTACCCAATCTTCTCATCATCCAAGCGTAGTCCAGATTCGTCGTCCATTGTTCCATTCCTATGTTCCATTACCAGATTGCACTAAATTACTCAAACGCCTGCACAAACATCCAGGTCTTCACCTTTTTGCGGAATACCATTAGAGATGGTGCTAGTCTAATGTCCGTAGGAAGGGCGTTCCACAGCCGAGGAGCCACCACCGAGAAGGCCCTATCTCTCGTCCCCGCCAGCCGAGCTTGAGAAGCAGGCGGGATCGAGAGCAGGGTCTCCCCGGAAGATCTCAAACTCCTGGTGGGTTCATAGGCAGAGATGCGGTCAGATAGGTAGCTTGGGCCGGAACCGTTTAGGGCTTTAAAGGCCAACGCCAGCACTTTGAATTCAGCCCGGTAGCAGATCAGTAGCCAGTGGAGTTGGCGCAACAGGGGGGTTGTATGCTCCCTGCGCTCCGCTCCTGTTAAAATCATGGCTGCCGAGCGTTGGACTAGTTGGAGCTTCCGAGCTGTCTTCAAAGGCAACCCCACGTAGAGAGCGTTGCAGTAGTCTAAACGGGATGTAACCAGAGCGTGGACTACCGTGGCCAAGTCGGACTTCCCAAGGTACGGGCTTATATATTAGCTTATATATTCTTATCCTTTAATGCTTTTCTCTATTTTTCTTTTCATAGTCATAAAAAAGGGTCCAATCTGTTCTCTTTAACGATTTTCCGGTATTTTTTCTCATCAAAAAAGTTAATTCATCCATATCCCTTATTTCTTTAACCTTATCCATCCATTCGTCAATAATAGGAATCTGTTCATTTTTCCAATGTTTGGCAAAAATAATCCTCGCTGCTGTAGTAAAATATGTCAATAGTATATCTTCGTTCTCTTCCAATTTTAAGTCTGAGTCTGTAAAACCTAATAAGTAATACTCCGGTTTCTTTTTAAACTTCCTTTTCAATGTTTTTTGTATCTCCTCATGTATTAGTGACCAATACTTAGACATTTCTTTGCATGACCACCACATATGGTAGAATGTACCAGTTTGTTCACTGCACTTCCAGCATTTGTCTGAGACATTTTTGTACATATGACTTAATTTATTAGGGGTCAGATACCATCTATAGAACATTTTATACCAATTTTCCTTTAAGTCCATGGCATATGTATACCTCAACTTTTTATTCCATATTTGTTCCCATTCTCTAAATTGAATGGGCCTTCTTAAATTTTCTGCCCACTTAATCATACATGTTTTCACCTGTTCTGTTTCCGTTAGCCATTGTAACAATTTGTTATAAAGTATTGTTACTATTTTCTTCTCCGTTTTTAAAACTTTATCCCATGTGTTTTCCTCCCAGTCAAAACCAATTTTCTTATCTTGTTTAAAGTATTCTTTAATTTGTATATAGTGTAACCATGTTATATTTCCAAAAGTACTCTTAAGTTGCCACAATTTATTATTTATTTATTATTAAATTTTTAAATTATTAAATTTATTTATTTATTATTAAATTATTAAATTTATAATTTATTTATACACAGTCAAAGACTATTCTAAAGCCTTTGACTGTGTGGATCATAATAAATTGTGGCAAGTTCTTGGTGGGATGGGCATCCCAAGCCCCCTTCCCTCTCTCCTGAGGAATCTGTACAAGGACCAAGTAGCAACAGTCAGAACTGACCACGGAACAACAGACTGGTTCAAGATTGGGAAAGCGTACGGCAAGGCTGCATCCTCTCACCCAACCTTTTTAACTTGTATGCAGAACACATCATGCGATGTGCGGGGCTTGATGAATGCAAAACTGGGGTGGGGTGGAAATGGCTGGAAGAAACATTAACAACCTTAGATATGCAGATGACACCACTTTGATGGCCGAAAGCGAGGAGAGATCTGAGGAGCCTTCTAATCAAGGTGAAAGAAGAAAGCGCAAAAGCTGGGTTGCAGCTAAACAAAAAAACCAAGATTATGGCAACAAGAATGATTGACAACTGGAAAATAGAGGGAGAAAACGTGGAGGCCGTGACAGACTTTGTATTTCTAGGTGCAAAGATTACTGCAGATGCAGACTGTGGCCAGGAAATCAGAAGACGCTTCCTTCTTGGGAGGAGAGCAATGTCCAGTCTCGATAAAATCGTAAAGAGTAGAGACATCACACTGGCAACAAAGATCCATTGCCTAGTCAAAGCCATGGTCTTCCCTGTAGTCACCTACGGATGTGAGAGCTGGACCTTAGGGAAGGCTGAGCGAAGGAAGATCGATGCTTTTGAGCTGTGGTGTTGGAGGAAAGTGCTGAGAGTGCCTTGGACTGCGAGAAGATCCAACCAGTCCATCCTCCAAGAAATAAAGCCCGACTGCTCACTGGAGGGAAAGATACTAGAGACAAAGTTGAAGTACTTTGGCCACATCATGAGGAGACAGGAAAGCCTAGAGAAGAGAATGATGCTGGGGAAAGTGGAAGGCAAAAGGAAGAGGGGCCGACCAAGGGCAAGATGGATGGATGGCATCCTTGAAGTGACTGGACTGACCTTGAAGGAGCTGGGGGTGGTGACGGCCGACAGGGAGCTCTGGCGTGTGCTGGTCCATGAGGTCGGAAATGACTGAACGAATGGTATGCTGGGGAAGGTGGAAGGCAAAAGGAAGAGGGGCCGACCAAGGGCAAGATGGATGGATGGCATCCTTGAAGTGACTGGACTGACCTTGAGGGAGCTGGGGGTGGTAACGGCCGACAGGGAGCTCTGGCGTGGGCTGGTCCATGAGGTCACGAAGAGTCGGAGACGACTGAACGAATGAACAACAACAACAACAAACTCTTAAGTTGTTCAAAGGGTTTAATTTCCATTTTTCCTTTAAGCAGGATGTCCTTATATCTTGGCCATACTCTCCATCCTAAAAGTCTCCTTTGATGGGCCTCCATCGCCGAGATCCATAATGGTGTAGTTTTGTAAAAGAAAGTTTTATATCTCAACCATGTCCTTAGTAGGGAGGCTCGTACAAAATGATTTCCAAATTTTTTTTCCTTAGTTTCTCTATTATACCAAATATACGCATGCCAGCCTACTCTCAGATCATGGCCTTCTAAATTTAGGCATTTCTCCTTATTTAAAGTCATCCAGTCTCTTATCCATAACAAAGCACATGCCTCATGATAAGATTTCAGATTCGGAAAGCCCAGACCTCCTCTTGTTTTTTTGTCAATTAGATTTGTATAGTTTATCCTTGGTCTTTTCCCTTTCCAAATGAATTTTAATAAATCTTTCTTCCATTTTTTAAATAGTGTCTGATTTCTTGTTGTTGTTCATTCGTTCAGTCGTCTCCGACTCTTCGTGACCTCATGGACCAGCCCACGCCAGAGCTCCCTGTCGGCCGTTACCACCCCCAGCTCCCTCAAGGTCAATCCAGTCACTTCAAGGATGCCATCCATCCATCTTGCCCTTGGTCGGCCCCTCTTCCTTTTCCCCCGTCACCACCCCCAGCTCCTTCAAGGTCAGTCCAGTCACTTCAAGGATGCCATCCACCCATCTTGCCCTTGGTCGGCCCCTCTTCCTTTTGCCTTCCACTTTCCCCAGCATAATTGTCTTCTCTAGGCTTTCTGTCTCCTCATGATGTGGCCAAAGTACTTCAACTTTGTCTCTAGTATCTTTCCCTCCATTGAGCAGTCGGGCTTTATTTCCTGGAGTTCAACTTTGTCTCTAGTATCTTTCCCTCCAGGGAGCAGTCGGGCTTTATTTCCTGGAGGATGGACTGGTTGGATCTTCTCGCAGTCCAAGGCACTCGCAGCACTTTCCTCCAACACCACAGCTCAAAAGCATCGATCTTCCTTCGCTCAGCCTTCCCTAAGGTCCAGCTCCCACATCCGTAGGTGACTACAGGGAATACCATGGCTTTGACTAGGCGGATCTTTGTTGCCAGTCTGATGTCTCTACTCTTCACTATTTTATCGAGACTGGACATTGCTCTCCTCCCAAGAAGTAAGCGTCTTCTGATTTCCTGGCTACAGTCTGCATCTGCAGTCATCTTTGCCCCTAGAAATACAAAGTCTGTCACGGCCTCCACGGTTTCTCCCTCTATTTTCCAGTTGTCAATCATTCTTGTTGCCATAATCTTGGTTTTTTTGACGTTTAGCTGCAACCCGGCTTTTGCGCTTTCTTCTTTCACCTTGATTAGAAGGCTCCTCAGCTCCTCCTCGCTTTCGGCCATCAGAGTGGTGTCATCTGCATATCTGAGGTTGTTAATGTTTCTTCCAGCAATTTTCACCCCAGCCTTGCATTCATCCAGCCCCGCACATCGCATGATGTGTTCTGCATACAAGTTAAAAAGGTTGGGTGAGAGTATGCAGCCTTGCCGTACGCCTTTCCCAATCTTGAACCAGTCTGTTGTTCCGTTGTCAGTTCTGACTGTTGCTACTTGGTCCTTGTACAGATTCCTCAGGAGAGATACAAGGTGGCTTGGTTTATTTCTGATTTCTTATTTTGAAACAAAAATATGAGTTTTGGTAAAACATTCATCTTTATTAAAGATATTCGACCCAGGAGTGATAGGTTTAGGTAGCTCCATTTTTGTAAGTCTTTTTGAATTTTCTTCCAAACTGTTTCATAATTATTCTTCAAAAGTTGACCAATTCTCGCTGAAATCCAGACTCCTAACCCTCTGACTTTAAACACCACACGTTGAATAGGAAAACAATCCTTTTAATGAAGATAAGTAAAAACAGTAAAGTAAAATAGCACTTTAAAGGAATAGGTAAATCCAATTAGATAAAAAGATAAGCAGGAACAAATTAGTCCAAGGTAGAGTTCAGCAATGTCCAAAAACAAAGTCCACAACTCTGTAATAAAATCCAAAGAACCAGGAAACGTTGATCCAAGGCATGAGCAGGTAATCACAAGAGAGAAAAAAACCAAAACCAGGAAACAAAAAATCCTGAAGCATAAATCTTCCAAGCACGGCTTCTATAAGACGAGAACAAGAACTTAGCTTCATCTGACTATATTTTCCATGCTTGAAACTTTCAAGCCTTTCCAAGCACTCAGAAACTGGTTTCGCTTTCCTTGAGCAGCCCTTATCTTTTTCTGTCGGAGCCTGGCAGAACGCCGAAGGCATTGCTCGACCTGTCTGTTTTGACTAATTTCTGCTCGCCTATCTATCTGCTCAAATAACACAGATATCTATAAATGAATTGTAAATATGGATTTGTCCTATTATAATGAGCTTAAGTACATATACCAGATTAAGTAACGTTTATAGTACATACAGGACACACTTTAATAGTGCAACAAACACAATATATACGATTTACAAAATAGTTATATAGGTCAAATAGATCAATTTCAGTATGTCCACAAGGTTTTCAACAAATATTCACGAGGTGTTCCACAAACTTGGGAATATAGTTCACGTTGAATATATCAAACTTATAAACAATTTATGTTGTGTTCAGCAAACCTAGGAATGCACAACAAGGTTCCCCAGGTGTTTTGTGACTATTACATTTGTTTGAATGAAATAACCTCCAAGAAGCCTGATGAAGAGAATCTACTCTTGAAACAAGGACACTGTTCTTTCAGTCTTATCCAGGTGGAAGTGCTCAAATGTATTGTTCACATTTTGCATTTATTTGGTATGCAATGAATGTGCACGGAGTCCCCGGTGGTGGAGTGAGTTAAACTGCTGAGCTGCTGAACTTGCTGACCAAAAAGTCGCACGTTTGAATCCAGGAAGTGGCGTAAGCTCCCACTGTTAGGCCCAGCTTCTGCCAACCTAGCAGTTTGAAAACATGCAAGTGTGAGTAGATCAATAGGAAGGTAACGCGCTCCATGCGGTCATGCCAGCCACATGACCTTAGAGGTGTCTACGGACAACGCCGGCTCTTCGGCTTAGAAATGGAGATGAGCACCAACCCCCAGAGTCGGACTGGACTGAATGAATGTGGAAGTTGGTGCAGTGGTCCTTGCGATACTCAGTTTTATCTTTGTCGCTTATGTTTAGACGGCTTCCGGAAAGTGGTGAACATAGAGCAAGGAGGCCTCGTCAAACCGGAACGGGACGACACCGAGTTCCAGCACCTCTACTTCCTCCAGGGCCACGAACACCTCTTGGAGCACATCAAGAGGAAGGTGGGATTGCGGAGAATGGAAATGAATTGGCCTTCAGCGTTGGCGGATTAGATAAACCCAGGCATGATCAATAGGTGCACGGAGCCCCCGGTGGTGCAGCCGATTAAACCGCTGAGCTGCTGAACTTGCTGACCAAAAGGTTGGTGGTTCAAATCCGGGGAGCGGGGCGAGCTCCTGTTGTTCGGCCCAGTTTCTGCCAACCTGGCAGTTCGAAAACATGCAAATGTGCATAGATCAATAGGTGCACAGAGCCCCCGATGGTGCAGCGGGTTAAACCGCTGAGCTGCTGAACTTGCTGACCAAAAGGTTGGTGGTTCGAATCCGGGGAACGGGGTGAGCTCTTGTTGTTCGGCCCAGTTTCTGCCAACCTGGCAGTTCGAAAACATGCAAATGTGAGTAGATCAATAGGTGCATGGAGCCCCCGGTGGTGCAGCGGGTTAAACCGCTGAGCTGCTGAACTTGCTGACCAAAAGGTTGGTGGTTCGAATCCGGGGAGCGGGGTGAGCTCCTTTTGTTCGGCCCAGTTTCTGCCAACCTGGCAGTTCAAAAATATGCAAATGTGAGTAGATCAATAGGTGCACGGAGCCTCCAGTGGTGCAGTGGGTTAAACCGCTGAGCTGCTGAACTTGCTGACCAAAAGGTTGGTGGTTCGAATCCGGGGAACGGGGTGAGCTCTTGTTGTTCGGCCCAGTTTCTGCCAACCTGGCAGTTCGAAAACATGCAAATGTGAGTAGATCAATAGGTGCGCGGAGCACCCAGAGGTGCAGCAGGTTAAACTGCTGAGCTGCTGAAATTGCTGACCAAAAGGTTGGTGGTTTGAATCCAGGGAGCGGGGTGAGCTCCTGTTGTTCGGCCCAGTTCCTGCCAACCTGGCAGTTCGAAAACATACAAATGTGAGTAGATCAATAAGTACCACTTCTGCGAAAAGGTAACGGTGCTCCATGCACTCATGCTGGCCACACGGCCTTGAAGGTGTCTAGGGACAACGCCGGCTCTTCAGCTTAGAAAACGATTAATTTTTTTCGCAAAAGTCATTACAAAATTAGGGGGAGCTGACATTTTGTTTCTAAAGTGTTTCTAAAGTATAGTTAGTGAAAAAATTTCGTTACTACAACAAGGCCTTGGAGGCATCTATGGACAACGCTGGCTCTTCAGCTTAGAAATCGATTAATTTTTTTTTCAAAAGTCATTACAAAATTAGGGGGTGCTGGCGTTTTGTTTCTAAAGTGTTTCTAAAGTATAGTTAGTGAAAAAATTTCATTACTACAACAAGGCCTTGGACGCATCTATGGACAACGCCGGCTCTTCAGCTTAGAAATAGATTAATTTTGTTTTCAAAAATCCTTACAAAATTAGGGGGCGCTGATGTTTTGTTTCTAAAGTGTTTCTAAAGTATAGTTAGTGAATAAATTCCATTACTACAACAAGAGTAACAAAATTTAGTTACTTTTCATTATAATAATTTCCCTCAGTGGCGCAGTGCTAAATTTGTTGACTGAAAGGTTGCGGGTTCGAATCTGGGGAGCGGGGTGAGTTCCCACTGTCAGACCCAGCTTCTGCCAACCTAGCAGTTCAAAAACATGCAAATGTGAGTAGATCAATAGGTACCACTCCAGCGGGAAGGTAACATGCACTCATGCTAGCCACATGGCCTTGGAGGCATCTACGGACAACGCCGGCTCTTCAACTTAGCAATTGATTAAAAAAAATTTTCAAAAGTCATTACAAAATTAGGGGATGCTGATGTTTTGTTTCTAAAGTGTTTCTAAAGTATAGTTAGTGAATAAATTTCGTTACTACAACAAGAGTAACAAAATTTAGTTACTTTTTCATTATAGTAATTGCCCCCAGTGGTGCAGTGGGTTAAACCACTGAGCTGCTAAATTTGTTGACCGAAAGGTTGCGGGTTCGAATCCAGGGAGTGGAGTGAGTTCCCACTATCAGCCCCAGCTTCTGCCAACCTAGCAGTTCGAAAACATGCAAATGTGACTAGATCAATAGGTACCGCTCCGGTGGGAAGGTAACAGCGCTCCATGAAGTCATGCTGGCCACATAACCTTGGAGGCGTCTACGGACAACGCCGGCTCTTCAGCTTAGAAATGAAGATGAACATCACCCCCCAGAGTCAGACTCGACTAGACTTAATGTCAAGGGAAAACCTTTACCTTAACCTTTACCTTAATACTGGGCTATAAACCACTGTTAACCTTTCTTCTCCTCCTGTTTCTCTAGGTTTCGGTTGTGAAAAGCGAAGAAACCAAGATGCGCCAGGAAGACCTGAGTCGGTTGCTGTACGAAATCCAGGTGCTCCGGAGCCAGCAAGAGACGGTCGAGTGCCAAGTGCAGGACATGAAACAGTTACGTGAGATTATCCATTAACTTTATTGATTTCCTTCATTTTTATTCTGCTTTTCTATTGGGGAGTCATTTTCAGAAAACGTAAAGCAGCAACACCAGCAACAGCAGTTCAGCAGATCAGAAGCTTCTAGTGCTAGCAGTAGAGCCATTGAGCTCCAAGTAATACAGGAGCAGAGCCAAACGTTAGACGTTATAAAGCACATTATTCAAAGAATGACATAACTAGATAGGAAAGTTTATTTATTTATTTGCCATATTTATATCCCGCCGTTCTCAACACCAAAGGGAATTCAGAGCGGCGCACGTAAAGGCACAATTTGATGCCATACATTAAATGCAATGCATATCCAGCAAATTAGGAGCCCCTGGTGGTGCACTGAGCTTCTAAACTTGTTAACTGAAAGGTTGCAGGTTTGAATCCGGGGAGCGGCATGAGCTCCCGCTGTCAGCCCCAGCTTCTGCCAACCTAGCAGTTCGAAAACATGCAAATGTGAATGTAACGGCGGGAAGGTAACGCTGCTCCATGCAGTCATGCAAACCCCCAGATCAATAGGTACTGCTGTGGTGGGAAGGTAACAGCACACCATGCAGTCATGCTGGCAACATCACCTTGGAGGTGTCTACGGACAACGCTGGCTCTTTGGCTTAGAAATGGAGATGAGCAGCAACCCCTAGAGTTGGACACAACTGGACTTAATGTCAGGGGAAAAACTTTTCCTTATCTAACTATCCATACAATAAAACACCCGCTAAAAACATATCAACACTAAAATTATTAAAATCACGTAATATCGTACTCGAGGCCGTTCCAGTTAACACTGCACCATTCCATGTTCACATATTGCTCTAATTAACTATCCAAACGCATGGTCCCACATTCAAGTATTCCATTTTTCCTATAGGTTTTTTTCGAGTGAGGGGGGTAATCTGATGTCATTAGGAAGGGAGTTTCACAACTGAGGGGCCACCACTGAGAAGACCCTGTCTCGTCCCAACCTGTGAAGGATGTGGAACTGAGATAGTTCATAGAGGGAGATGTGTTTGGATATGAAAGCTGGGCCTATCTATCTATCTATCTATCTATCTAGATAACTGCATCTGTGAAAGAGGTGGGACTGAGAGCAGGGTCGTCCCAATCTCCGAGATGGTTCATAGAGGGACATGTGCTTGGATACGAAAGTTGGGCCTATCTATCTATCTATCTATCTATCTATCTATCTATCTATCTAATCTATCTAGATAACCGCACCTGTGAAGGAGGTGGGACTGAGAGCAGGGCCTTCCCAGTCTACGAGATGGTTTATAGAGGGAAATGTGTTTGGATATGAAAGCTGGGCCTATCCATCCATCTATCCATCTATCTATCTATCTATCTATCTATCTATCTATCTATCTATCTATCTAACCGTACCTGTGAAGGAGGTGGGACTGAGAGCAGGTCCTCCCAATCTCCGAGATGGTTCATAGAGGGAGATGTGTTTGGACATGAAAGCTGGGCCTATCTATCTATCTATCTAATCTATCTAGATAACCGCACCTGTGAAGGAGGTGGGACTGAGAGTAGGGCCTTCCCAATCTCCGACATGGTTCATAGACGGACTTGTGTTTGGATGCGAAAGCTGGGCCTATCTATCTATCTATCTATCTATCTCTCTCTCTCTCTATCTAACCGTACCTGTGAAGGTGGTGAGACTGAGAGTGGGTCCTCCCAATCTCCGAGATTATTCGTAGAGGAAGATGTGTTTGGATACGAAAGCTGGGCCTACCTATCTAGATAACCATACCTGTGAAGGAGGTGGGACTGAGAGCAGGGCCTCCTAATCTCCGAGATGGTTCATAGAGGGCAATGTGTTTGGATACAAAAGCTGGGCCTATCCATCCATCCATCCATCCATCCATCCATCCATCCATCCATCTATCTATCTATCTATCTATCTATCTATCTATCTATCTAACCGCACCTGTGAAGGAGATGGTACTGAGAGTAGGGCCTTCCCAATCTCCGACATGGTTCATAGACGGACTTGTGTTTGGATACGAAAGCTGGGCCTATCTAACTATCTATCTATCTAACCGTACCTGTGAAGGAGGTGAGACTGAGAGCAGGTCATCCCAATCTCTGAGATGGTTCATAGAGGGACATGTGTTTGGATACGAAAGCTGGGCCTATCTATCTAGATAACCGCACCTGTGAAGGAGGTGGGACTGAGAGCAGGATCTTCCCAATCTCCAAGATGGTTCATAGAGAGAGATGTGTTTGGATATGAAAGCTGGGCCTATTTATCCCTATCTATCTATCTATCTATCTATCTATCTATCTATCTATCTATCTATCTATCTATCTATCTATCTATCTATCTATCTGCACCTGTGAAGGAGGTGGGACTGAGAGCAGGGCCTTCCCATAGAGGGAGATGTGTTTGGATACGAAAGCTGGGCCAATCAATCAATCATCATCTAACTGAGTTAGAAGAGAGCCTATCTATCTACTTATCTCACTCACTGAAGCAGACATCTTGTCTCTCTCCATGCTCACAGGAGAAGAACAAAATGCCATTTTCCTGAGACTTTTCAGTCTAACCAGAAACGGGATAGGAGGAGACAAGGGAAGACAGGTTGACAGAGAGGCCAGTGCAAGAAAGGCTTTTCCCTAGAATTAACCCTATCTAAGTTCTTGATGAGGACTACAAACTTGTGCAGGATGTGATTGACTTCCAACAAGTTTCTCCCAATATAGGGTCTCATAGAATCCTAGAGTTGGAAGAGACGGAAAGGCTTTTCCCTAGAATTAACCGTATTTAAGTTCTTGATGAGAACTACAAACTTGTGCAGGATGTGATTGAGTTCCAATAAGTTGCTCCCAATATAGGGTCCGGAAGAGACCTCGTGGGCCATGCAGTCCAACCCCATTCTGCCAAGAAGAAGAAAAATCGCATTCAAAGTCTCGGGGCATTTGAAACCAGATAGTGCTGGACTCCTTTGCCAGGAGCATCGTGACTGTCCTATTCCCTTAATGCGCAGGGCTCATTTCCTTCTTGTTTCCTTTTCTCCTTTGCCCAGAAGATCCTATTCCTTGTGTCCAAGGGTCCCTCGCTATCCGCTAGGGTTTGGTTCTGGAACCCCCGTGGATACCGAAAACTGTGGATGCCCAAGTCCCAATTGATACCATTTCCTGGCCTAAAATCGTGACAAACTTGCCCAACGCCACCAGAAGGCATTTGAGGCCAAAGCATTTTTAGCAAAAGTAGTTGCTTCACCCATCAGCCTTCCACATTTGCACAAACCCCAATCTAGTAAATACAACTATGCAAGCAAGACTATCTTTGGTTGTAATGGCCGTGATGTCTCTTTTATTCGGTCGATTACTCGGCTCAGAGCCATTTTAAGTACTATTGTATGTTTCTTTTGTGCCAAGATTAGTTTTGTGAGTCCTGGGGATCAACTAAAATAATAAGTTCGATCCCACAAGTGTGAGGTCTGCCTGCCTAGTGTCATTCTACAAGGTTTCCCAACACTTTGCTGGATTAATTCGGTCTTGCAAAAGTTGACAGGTTGTGAATCAAGTTTTCAATGGTTTTAAATAGTTTTTATTTTTTTCATCTTACTTTAATGTTTTATATGGGATATTTTAGGTTTTAAATTATGTTGTGTGTTGTTTTTTAGTGTTAGCTGCTTTGGTTCTCTTTTTAGAGAGATAAAGCAGGATAGAATAGTAATACTAATAAATGTTGAATTTTGATAGTCATTAATAATAGTCAATTAATTATTATTATTATTTGTCGTGTCAGGAGAGACTTGAGAGACTGCAAGTCGCTTCTGGTGTGAGAGAATTGGCCGTCTGCAAGGACGTTGCCCAGGGGACGCCCAGATGATTTGATGTTTTTATCATCCTTGTGGGAGGCTTCTCTCATGTCCCCACATGAAGAGCTGGAGCTGACAGAGGGAGCTCATCCGCCTCTCCCCGGATTTGAATCTGAAACCTGTCGGTCTTCAGTCCTGCTGGCACCGGGGTTTAACCCACCGGGGGCTCCAATTAATTAATTAATTAAAAGAAACCTGTCGGTCTTCAGTCCTGCCGGCACAGGGGTTTAACCCACTGCGCCACCGGGGGCTCCAATTAATTAATTAATTAAAATTGATAATTAAATAAAAATTAATAGTTAATTAAAAATGAATAGTTAATTAAAAATAATCAATATTTAATTAAATAAAATCAATATTTAATCAATTAAAATCAATAGCTAATTAATTAAAATCAATAGTTAATTCAGACTTAAGTGTTAATTCATTACTCAATCAATAATGAATTAAGAGTCAACTGATAGTTAATCAATTGATAATTAATAATTGGTTAATAAATATGTTAGTTCATAGTTAATTAATAGTGAATCAATTAATAGTTAATTAAAATAATTGTTAATTCATCGATCAATTAATAATGAATTAAGAGTCAACTAATATTTAATTAATTATAATCAATATAATCAATATATTGTTGAAGGCTTTCATGGCCAGAATCGCTGGGTTGTTGTAGGTTTTTTCGGGCTATATGGCCATGTTCTAGAGGCATTCTCTCCTGACGTTTCGCCTGCATCTATGGCAAGCATCCTCAGAGGAAACAACAGAGAGGAAACAAACAAGGACATCTACTCACCTCTCAACAAAAGATTGCCCCAGGCACTTCCAGGCCATCAAATGCTAATCAAGGTGGTCAGTTGAAACATTCCCACCTAGCTCCAACAGACAAGAGTCCTTTGTCCCACCCTGGTTATTCCACAGATATATAAACGTCTTTTCCTAGTTCCAACAGACCTCACTACCTCTGAGGATGCTTGCCATAGATCCAGGCAAAATGTCAGGAGAAAATGCCTCTAGAACATGGCCATACAGCCCGAAAAAACCTACAACAAACCAGTTAATTAATAATTAAATTACTTAATAGTTAATAGTTAATCAATTAATTAGTTAATTAATCGTTAAATAAATAATAGTTAATTAATAGTTAATGAAGTAATAGTTTGTTAATAGTTAATTACTTAATTAATTAATTGATAGTTAATTAAATAATAGTTAATTAATAGTTAATTAAGTAATAGTTCATTAATAGTTAATAATAGTTAATTAATTGATAGTTAATTAAATAATAGTTAGTTAATAGTTAATTAAGTAATAGTTCATTAATAGTTAATTACTTAATTAATTGATAGTTAATTAAATAAGAGTTAGTTAATTAATATGTAAATTATTTCTATGGCACCATCCTCAGTGAATTTCAGCGCGGGGGTTTTCCTTCCAGAAACTGAGGACTCAGCTTGCATTTCTGCATTCGTTTCAGGCAGAATGAAGTTTTGTGGAGAGAAGTCGTATGTCTCCGGCAGAGTCATTTGCAGCACCAGAAAGTGATCAATAAGGTAAGACATGGATGGATATGCCCATCCGCAGTCTTGATTTAATGCGGTTTAATTGCTGCGAATGCCTCTATTACTGACGGCTCCCGTATATCCCTATTGACTCAGTTCCAGCATGTCCCTATAGATTTGCCCTCCACATAGGAATACTATTATAGAGTATTATATTGTACTAGCCGTCCCTTGCCACACATTGCTGTGGCCCACATGGGGGTTCTGTGTGGGAGGTTTGGCCCAATTCTATCGTTGGTGGGGTTCAGAATGCTCTGTGATTGTAGGTGAACTATAAATCCCATCAACTACAACTCCCAAATGTCAAGATTCTATTTTCCCCAAACTCCACCAGTGTTCACATTTGGGCATATTGAGTATTGTGTAGAGTTTGGTCCAGATCCTTCATTGTTTGAGTCCACAGTGATCTCTGGATGTAGGTGAACTACAACTCCAAAACCAAAGGACACTGCCCACCAAACCCTTCCAGTATTTTCTGTTGGTCATGGGAGAACTGTGTGCCAAGTTTGGTTCAATTCCATCGTTGGTGGGGTTCAGAATGCTCTTTGATTGTAGGTGAACTATAAATCCCAGCAACTACAACTCCCAAATGTCAAGATTCTATTTCCCCCAAACTCCACCAGTGTTCACATTTGGGCATATCGAGTATCAGTGCCAAGTTTGGTCCAGATCCATCCTTATTTGAGTCCACAGTCATCTTCGGAAATAGGTGAACTACAACTCCAAAACCAAAGGACACTGCCCACCAAATCCTTCCAATATTTTCTGTTGGTCATGGGAGTTCTGTGTGCCAAGTTTGGTTCAATTCCATCGTTGGTGGGGTTCAGAATGCTCTTTGATTGTAGGTGAACTATAAATCCCAGCAACTACAACTCCCAAATGTCAAGATTCTATTTCCCCCAAACTCCACCAGTGTTCACATTTGGGCATATTGGGTATTCGTGCCAAGTTTGGTCCAGATCCATCATTGTTTGAGTCCACAGTGCTCTCTGGATATAGGTGAACTACAACTCCAAAACCAAAGGACACTGTCCACCAAACCCTTCCAGTATTTTCTGTTGGTCATGGGAGTTCTGTGTGCCAAGTTTGGTTCAATTCCATCGTTGGTGGGGTTCAGAATGTTCTTTGATGTAGGTGAACTATAAATCCCAGCAACTACAACTCCCAAATGTCAAGTCTATTTTCCCCAAACTCCACCAGTGTTCACATTTGGGCATATTGAGTATCAGTGCCAAGTTTGGTCCAGATCCATCCTTATTTGAGTCCACAGTCATCTTCGGAAATAGGTGAACTACAACTCCAAAACCAAAGGACACTGCCCACCAAATCCTTCCAATATTTTCTGTTGGTCAAGGGAGTGTGTGCCAAGTTTGGTTCAATTCCATCGTTGGTGGGGTTCAGAATGTTCTTTGATTGTAAGTGAACTATAAATCCCAGCAACTACAACTCCCAAATGACAAAATCAATTTTTTGAGTGAAGGACATACATTGGGTTGTTAGGTGTCTTGTGTCCAAATTTGGTGTCAATTCGTCCAGTGGTTTTTGAGTTCTGTTAACCCCACAAACGACCATTACATGTTTATCTATATAGATTGCATCGTATAATAATACTGACCAATTTAATGATGGTTCCAGTAGAGCAGTGGTTCTCAACCTTCTTAATGCCGTGACCCCTTAATACAGCCCCCCATTTTGTGGTGACCCCCAACCATAAAATTATTTTCGTTGCTAGTTCGTAACTGTAATTTTGGCTACTGTTATGAATTATAGAATCATAGAGTTGGAAGAGACCCATGGGCCATCCAGTCCAACCCCCTGCCAAGAAGCAGGGATATTGCATTCAAAGCACCCCCGACAGATGGCCATCCAGCCTCGGTTTAAAATATAATGTAAATATCTGATATTCAGAATGTATTTTCATTCATCGGACCAAATTTGGCACAAATACCTGATACGTCCACATTTGAATACTGGTGGGGTCGGGGGCTGGATTGATTTTTATCATTTGGGAGGTATAGTTGCTGGGATTTATAGTTCACCTGCAATCAAAGAGCATTCTGAATTCCACCAATGATGGAATTGAACCAAACTTGGTACTCAGAATTCCCATGACCAACAGAAAATACTGGAAGGATTTGGTGGGCATTGTCCTTGAGTTTGGGAGTTGTAGTTCACCTACATCCAGAGATCACTGTGGACTCAAACAATGATGGATCTGGACCAAACTCTACACGAATACTCAATATGCCCAAATTCCACCAATGATGGAATTGAACCAAACTTGGCACTCAGAATTCCCATGACCAACAGAAAATACTGGAAGGATTTGATGAGCATGGATCTTGGGTTTTGGAATTGTAGTCCACCCACATCCAGAAAGTACTGTGGACTCAAACAATGATGGATCTGAACCAAACTTGGCACAAATACTCAATATGCCCAAATGCGAACACTGGTGTAGTTTGGGGAAAATAGACCTTGACATTGAGGAGTTGCAGTTGCTGGGATTTATAGTTCACCTCCAATCAAAGAACATTCTGGACCCCACAACTGATAGAATTGGGTCAAACTTCCCACACAGAACCCCAATGCCCAAATCCCCATACTGTGTTTTCTGATGGTCTTTGGGGACCCCTCTGACACCCCCTCGCGACCCCCTCAGGGGTCCCGACCCCCAGGTTGAGAAACACTGCAGTAGAGTATTCTGCTATATTATATTATTATATTGTAGAATATAATATTATTCTCATGACCAATTTAGCACAAGTGAACTCTACTACAACAGGTGTGCTTGTGCCTGTTTGCATGCCACGAAATGGTGCCCAAGGGGCTTGCATGTGGGGTGAGCCTGCCCCCCTATTCAGTGCCCGGTGCTGAATCACTCTGCTTCCAACTGACCAACGCCTGACCTTGATCTCCCCTGACAGCTGATTCAGTTTCTGTTTGGCCAGCTCCAATCTGGCCCCAGCAACGCCGCCGCTGCCACTGCCACTGCTGGGATAAAGAGAAAGCTGTGAGTATGCCCGTCCCCATTGGGCCGCGTGCGAGGAGCTCCCTTTGGGAAAAGGCCCGAGCTCAGCGCTGGTGGGTGGCGCGTGGGTCACCGGACCCCGGAGGGCTCCATGGAGACCGGGAAATGAATGGGGACGAAGTGATGAGTCAGAGCTGCTGACTCCGGCCGTTCTGGGCGCTCCCTTGGAGAAGCACCCTGTCAGCTCGCTGCCCGTTTTGTTCCAGAGGAATGAAAGGGGGCGAAAGAAGGAGGTCGGGAGAGAAAAGGGGGTGCATCATGGTTATTGAGGGGGGATACACAGGTAATATTCCTTCTGGCAACATAACTGGATATTAGGCCTGGGTAACAACGGAAAAATTTGTTTCTAAAATCGATTTGTATTTGGGGTTTTTTTTTTGTTTCGATATTTAAAATAATTACAAAATTTTCCTTTTAAAAAGTTCGATATTTACGAAATTTCGTAAATGGTAAAAAAATTAACGAATCGATTTCCGAAACAATAACGAATCGATTCGTTAATGGCGGACGCGACCGCGAAATACGCTAAAAAACCTCCAAAACCTTCTGAAGCTTCCCTCTCCCTCTGTTGTTGACTGTTGGTGTGATATTATAATTTTTTTCACTAATTAAACCATAAAACTGGCCCAGACATGCGGAAATAATAACGAAACGACCTCAAAACAATAACGAAACGAATACAATATCGAAATACGAAGCATTTACAAAACGTTTTTGAAAATTCGTTTTTTTTAATAATTGCTCCAGAATGGTTCGTTATCGTTTTGTAATTGAAAAATTAACGAATTATTAACGAATTACGAATTAACGAAACGAAACCGCCCAGCCCTACTGGATATGTAATGCTAAGTTACACATGTCTGACTGGAAGCATCAGTATTGGCAGCACAGTGCTTCTTATTTGAAGTATCAATACTAGGGCTGGGCGGTTTCGTTTCGTTAATTCGTAATTCGTTAAAAATTCAATTTTTTTTTGTTAACGAAGCGATAACGAACCATTCTGGAGCAACTTAAAAACGAAACGAATTTTTCAATTCGTTTCGTAAATGCTTCGTATTTCGTTATGTATTCGTTTCGTTATTGGTTTGAGGTCGTTTCGTTATTATTTCCTCATGTCTGGGGCAAGTTTTATAGTTGTTTTTTGTTTAATTAGTGAAAAAAAATTATAATATCACACCAACAGTCAACAACAGAGGGAGGGGGAAGCTTCAGAAGTTTTTTTAGCGTATTGCGCGATCGCGGCCGCCACTAACGAATCGATTCGTTATTGTTTCGTTATTGTTTCGTAATTTTTTTAACATTTACGAAATTTCGTAAATATCGAACTTTTTTTAAGGAAAATTTTGGAATTCTTTTAAATATCGAAATGCAAAAAACCCCAAAAAACGAATCGATTTTAGAAACAAATGTTTCCGTTGTTACCCGGGCCTAATCAATACTTTTTATTAGAACTATTGATTAGGCTTGGGTAACCATGGAAAAATTTGGTTCTAAACTCATTTTGTTTTTAGGGGGCCCTTGCATTTCAGTTTTTTTTAATAATTCCAAAATTTTCCTTTTAAAATTTTTGAAATATACGAAATTTCGTAAAATTACGAATCGATTCGTTAATGGCGGACGCGATTGCGCAATATGCTAAAAAAACCTCCAAATGGGACAGGGGGAACTTCTGAAGCTTCCCTCTCCCTCTGTTGTTGACTGTTGGTGTGATAAAGCAAACAACAACTATAAAACTTGCACCAGACATGCGAAAATAATTACGAAATAATTTCGAAATAATTACGAAATAATTACGAAATAATTACGAAATAAATTGAAAAAATTGTTTCGAATCTAATTTACTCCTCACATTATTCCTGCATGGCTCAATATTGGATCGTAAGCTAATTTAAATACGAATTAATAACGAATTACGAAATTAACGAATGAAACCGCCCAAGCCTACTATTTATACTTTTTATTGGAAGGATCAGTGCTTCTTATTGGAAGCATTCGCACTTCTATTAGAGGTACCAGTAATGCTCCCCATGCTCTATTCTGCCTTGGTTAGACCACACCTGGAATATTGTGTCCAATTCTGGGCACCACAATTGAAGAGAGATATTGACAAGCTGGAATGTGTCCAGAGGAGGGCGACTAAAATGATCAAGGGTCTGGAGAACAAGCCCTATGAGGAGCGGCTTAAGGAGCTGGGCATGTTTAGCCTGAAGAAGAGAAGGCTGAGAGGAGATATGATAGCCATGTATAAATATGTGAGAGGAAGCCACAGGGAGGAGGGAGCAAGCTTGTTTTCTGCTTCGCTGGAGACTAGGACACAAACAATGGCTTCAAACTACAAGAGAGGAGATTCCATCTGAACATGAGGAAGAACTTCCTGACTGTGAGAGCCGTTCAGCAGTGGAACTCTCTGCCCCGGAGTGTGGTGGAGGCTCCTTCTTTGGAAGCTTTTAAACAGAGGCTGGATGGCCATCTGTCAGGGGTGATTTGAATGCAATATTCCTGCTTCTTGGCAGAATGGGGTTGGACTGGATGGCCCAGGAGGTCTCTTCCAACTCTTTGATTCTATGATTCTATGATTCTACCAATACTTGTTGAAAGTATTAATATTTATTATTGAAAGTACCAATACTTATTGGAAGTATCAGTGCTTATTGGAAGTATCAGTACTTTTTACTAGAAGTATTAGTTCTTTGAAAAGGTTGATATTTCTTATTGGAAGGATCCTTAGGACATCTTATTGAAGGATCAATACTTCTTATTGGAAGGATCAATCCATATTGGAAGCATCAATATTTCTTATTGGAAAGATCAACACTTCTTATTGGAAGGATTGATCATCATTGGAAGTATCAATGCTTCTTATTGGAAAGAACAACACTTCTTATTGGAAGGATCGATCCTTATTGGAAATAACAATACTTCTTATTGGAAAGATCAACACTTCTTATTGGAAAGATCGATCCTCATTGGAAGTATCATTGCTTCTTATTGGAAGGAACGATCCTCATTGAAAATAACAATATTTCTTATTGGAAATATCGGTACTTCTTACTGGAACGATCAATACTTCTTATTGGAAGGAAAAATTCTTATTGAAAATATCAGTACCTCCTAATGGAAGAATCAATACTTCTTATTGGCAGGATCAACACTTCTTATTGAAAGGATCAATCCTTAATGGAAGTATCAGTGTTTCTTGTTGGAATAATCAATACTTCTTATTGAAAGGATCAATCCTTATTGGAAATATCAATACTTCTTATTGGAAAGATCAACACTTCTTATTGGAAGGAACAATTCTCATTGGAAATAACAATATTTCTTATTGGAAATATCAGTACTTCTTATTGGAAGGATCAATACTTCTTATTGGAAGGAACAATTCTTATTAAAAATATCAATACCTCCTAATGAAAGGATCGATACTTCTTATTGGCAGGATCAATCCTTATTGGAAGCATCAGTGCTTCTTATTGGAAGTATCAATACTTTCTATTAGAAAAATGTATACTTTTCATTGGAAGAAACAGTGCTTCTATTAGAGGTATCTATACTTCTTGTTGAAAGTATCAATACCTATTATTGAAAGTACCAATACTTATTGGAAGTATCAGTGCTTATTGGAAGTATCAATACTTTTTTATTAGAAGTTCTTTGAAAAGATTGATACTTCTTATTGGAAGGATCCTTAGGACATCTTATTGGAAGGATCAATACTTCTTATTGGACGGAAAAAATCTTATTGAAAATATCAATACCTCCTAATGGAAGGATCGATACTGCTTATTGGCAGGATCGATTCTTATTGGAAATTTCAATATGTCTTACTGGAAAGATCAACACTTCTTATTGGAAGGATCAATCCTCATTGGAAGTATCATTGCTTCTTATTGGAAGAATCAACAGTTATTGGAAGGATCAATCCTCATTGGAAATAACAATATTTCTTATTGGAAATATCGGTACTTCTTATTGGAAGGATCAATACTTCTTTTTGGAAAGATCATGACTTCTATTTGGAAGGATCAACACTTCTTATTGAAAGGAGCAATCCTTATTGGAAATATCAATACGTCTTATTGGAAGAATCAATCCATATTCGAAGTATCATTGCTTCTTAGCGGAAGGATCCATCCTCATTGGAAATATCAATATTTTTTATTGGAAAGAACAATATTTCTTATTGGAAGGATCAATCGTCATTGGAAATATCAGTATTTTTTATTGGAATGATCAATAATCATTGGAAATAACAATATTTCTTCTTGGAAGGATCAGTCCTCATGTGAAATATCAATATTTCTTATTGGAAGGATCAGTCCTCATTGGAAATATCAATATTTCTTACTAGAAATTCCAATATTGCTTATTGGAAAGAACAGTATTTCTTATTGGAAGGATCAATCCTCATTGGAAATATCAATATTTCTTATTGGAAATACCAATACCTCTTATTGAAAGGATCAATCCTCGTTGGAGGTATCATTGCTTCTTATTTGAAAGGATCAATCCTTATTGGAAATACCAATACTTCTGATTGGAAAGATTAACACTTCTTATTGGAAATATCAATCCTTATTATTGAAAGGATCAATCCTTATTGGAAACATCAGGATGTCTTATTGGAAGGATCGATACTTCTTATTGAAAGGATCAGCCTGTATTGGAAGTGCCAATGCTTCTTATTGGAGATATCAGTACTTATTATTATTATTATTATTATTATTATTATTATCCTTCCAGATATTATTATTATTATTATTATTATTATTATTATCCTTCCAGATATTATTATTATTATTATTATTATTATTATTATTCCTTCCAGATATTATTATTATTATTATTATTATCCTTCCAGATATTATTATTATTATTATTATTATTATTATCCTTCCAGATATTAATATTATTATTATTATTATTATCCTTCCAGATATTATTATTATTATTATTATTATTATCATTATCATTCCAGATATTATTATTATTATTATTATTATTATCATTATCATTCCAGATATTATTATTATTATTATTATTATTATCATTATTATTATTATTATTATTATCCTTCCAGATATTATTATTATTATTATTATTATTATTATCCTTCCAGATA